CCCCCTCCCCCCAGCCCACCACGTGCGTGCCCTTACCGGTGGCATTGCACGTCAGGTGGGCGGTCTGTCCCTCAGGGACCGTGACTGCCTCCTCCAGGTCCTCGTTCTCGATACTGGGAGGAACTGGGGGAAGTAAGGAGACAGATGGCTACCAAACGGGGTTGGCCCCCTCAGGGTGAACCACCATGGAGCAGGAAACCCAGAGCCCACGGCATCTCTCTTCAATTTACTGTGCCTTGGTTTCCCCACTCCCCGTGCCTGCTTCCACAGGGCAGTGAGCTTAATAAACATTCGCTGCTGGCTGAGGGAGGTACCAGTGCTTCTGGGGGAGGCCCCAGTGCTTCTGGGGGAGGCCCTGATCAGAGGGAGGCAGCTGAGTGGCGCTGAAAACATTTGCCCCCTTCCACTGTGGGTTAGTTCCTGCTGTTTCTGGAAAGTTCCAAGGTGGCCTCAGAGCAGAGGCTGCTGATGAGGCAAAGAAAACGAGCCTTGGCCTCCCCGCCTTCCCGTGCTGGGCTGCCTGCTGCAGCCCGAGCTGGCAGTCCTGGGCCCTACCCGCCCGTAAGCTCCCGGCAGGAGGAAAAGGCTTCTCGGGCTGCCCCTGAGAACGGGCTGTGACGTACCCAGGACCTCCACGCTGTAGTTCCTCTGCACCGCCCCAGCCTCGTTGCTTGCCAGGCACGAGTAGAGGCCTCTGTCTCGCTCCTGTGTCCGGGTCATCTTCAGCATCCAGCCCCCTGGGGAGGGAAGGCAGTAGGCTCCAGCATGGCTATGAGCAGCCTTCTGTCCCAAGCTGAGCCCAGGCTGTGCACCAGGAGTTATAATTAGAGGTGTATGTGTCTGCCTCGTCCAGCATTCCGTTCCTCAAATGGGGAAACTGAGGCCCAGGAGGGCAAAGAGATGGATGGAGCCCCCTGGACATCGGGGCAAGCCTGAGCCCTGTTCTTGTAAGAAGGAGCTGTCACCTGGCTACCCTCGCTTCTGGGGACTATCTGGGGCTAAAAGGACAGCAATGGGCTATGGAGTTCTGGCCCAGGTCAGACCCCCCTACACTACTCTGATGCACCCTGTAAAAGGCCACTTTCTCCTGAGGACCCCTCACAGAGGCGAGCCAGGTCCTCTCAAAGAAAGTCAAGAATCTTCTAAGACTAGCCCCGAGAAGGCACGTACACAGGACAGAGGTCAGCCCTGTTGCTTCTGCGCCCCGGGCAGACGCTGCGGACCGACAGGCC